GTTAGCAACGTCTCCCCAGTGTTGGCTGGAACTGGAGGGGCAGGATCACAAAAGAACTAAAATGAGAGTGGATGGTCTTGGAAGGCTGTGGTATTTTAAAACCGCAAGGAGGAAGGAGTACAAAAGAGTTGTTGTTGAAAGAGTCCTTATAAAGATCTCCTGGAGGCTGGGTCTCAGGGTCCACGGCTCTTGAGTCCTCCTGCAATGCCAAGTGCCCACTTCGTACCTGCAGGCAGGGAAAGAGATGAGTCAAGGAGCCCCAGGTGTTGCCAACTCCAAGTTCTCCTTCCCCCAACAGACTGCTTAGCTCCCAAAGTACAGCCATCATCTAAGCCAAAAACCACCACCCTATTTCATGACTGCAGATTCTATCATTTAACTATGTGTGGTATTAAAAATAAGCATCCAAAGAAAGAGAATAGGTTAGAGGAAAATTCATCATTGTTGGCAGACAGTTTCCATTTGCCATCACTGATTAAAATAAAGCTGGAAAGCATGTGCACGAGCTGTCTGGATATAGCTGGAACTTCTCCTATCCTTTTCTCAAGGATGCTTTATATACTGTCTCTACAGTAACCAATGGCATGGGGAAAGGTGAGCAGCCCCCTCCAGAAAAGCAGGTCAGATTAAAAAAAAAAACCTTGCATTTTTTTTTCTCATTATAATGTCTTTCTCCCAGCTGGTAAGATTTTCCCAAAGGAAGAGCCAAGTTTCTTGCAGAATTAATATAGAGAACATATTGCAATAATCCTCTCTTTTTAGTGTCTTATTCAGAAACTCGCTGCGACTTTCACAAACTTGTTTGTTATTCAAAATTCTGTTCTGTATAATAATTCTTCCTTAGCACCGCTGGGAATAGCTAATTTATCCTTTCCTTAAAATAGTGTTTAGCAGAAGTAAACTGTCATCCAAACTACTAGACATTTCCTTATTCATATATTCTCCTTTTTGGCTTCAAGAGAAGCATAGAAGAATTTTCAAACAAGAAAAGTCCACATTCCATTTTTGTGATTTGCTGCACTTCAGTCCTCCTTTTTAAAATGAGCGTGTGCACATGTGTGTTCCATTACTTTTTGTTTTGTTTTGTTTTTTAAAATCACCTTAGGGGTAATATGGAACAGCTATACATGCATTTCAAAAACACTTTTAGTTTTCCTGACTTTCTGCTGCTGTTCTATTCAAATGCACATATACATGTGGTGAAAAAAAAGCTGCGCACATGGAGATGTCCATGTTAAAAGTGCTCTTGTGCCTTCTGGAATGTGCTATAAGAAGATAAATCTTAGGCAAAAAATATGGGGTGACTGCATTTACTCTACAAATTGCTTGGGAGTGGATACAGATGGATTTGAGTAAAACCTGGTGACTACACAATGTAAAGCTCATTGTGGAATCATCTCTTTTGAGCAGAGAATCATCTGATCTTTTTGGTTCAGCTGCAGGAGTGGCTTAAGTTTATTGTGATTGGTTTGACATTTTGTCCACTTTCTGGCCAGTGTGACTGCCTGATCTGAAGCAAAGGGGTACTCAAAGAGATGACAGTTCCCCTCAATTGAGCACTGCTTTTCTACAAACTGTTTCTTTAAAAGAAGTTTCAACTCAGCACTGGAATAGACTTCTGCTACAGCATTTAGCAGAACAAGAGAAAGTAAGAGCTAGAAATTGCCAATTAGCACCTCGTTAAGACAGCTTATGCTGCTGCCCCACTGATTATTGCAATTCTGGATGGCTAGAATTATTTCATATTCCCAGTGTGGTGTACTGCAGTGATCCCCAACTTTTCTGACAGTGTCCACCAGTTGAGGGAGGATGGGGTCTGTGTGCAGGGAAGGCGGGGCACCCCTTCCATTCATGCACATGGGCAGGGCGCTCAGATTGGCGTGCACACGCACTCGCACGCATGTGCAAAGGGCTGTGTGTGTGGAGGCATGCGGGGGTGGGTGGGATATCTGTCTCAATGGTCCAGTCCAGCCCAGGCCATGGGTCATGGACTGGGGTTGGGGACCCCTGGTGTGGTGGATAGAGTGATGGACTAGAACTCTAGAGACTAGGGTTAGTCCAAGAGAGTAGCAAATAACTCTTTACACAAATGCCAGGAAATGGACAAGTGCACACACAACACACCATTGTGTGTGCAATAAAAACAAACAGGATTCTGGCTACTCTTAGCCACTGTGGAGAACCGATAAGTCAAAAGACAAGTTACAAACGGGGGGGAAAAAAGCAAAATAAAACAATATAAAATGAAACCAAATGAAGAAATGTGTCCCAGGACAAACTGAAACCAGCAAACAAATTATGAAAGAAGGAAGAATTTTTCATATTTAGTAAAAAAATAATAATAAGTGAGACCAGTAATAACAGAATTTTTTTTTGTTTCTAATCTGCCATGGTATTGGGCTTTGATCAAGAGCACAGGAGAATGAAAATTGCTCATTTCATTTTTATGTGGCTTAATAAAAAATCTACAGGACCTGGCAACGTGGTTTCGTAATTATCCCTGACACCAGTGCTTGTGCTCAGCAAACCATGTGAGAGAGCCTTCATTTCATAACAGCTCACTTTAGGCCAAATGCCTCACCTCTTTTGCCTTTTGCCAACTTGTCATGCCTGGGGGGGAGGGAAGGGAGGAAGAGAACAGATCACATGTTCTCAGACTCCGGTTCAGCCAGCTGTCCTCAGCAAAAGAATTTGGCTTTTCCATTATTTTTTTCGTGCCCTGAGTATATCCCAAAGCACTTTAAAGAATAATGATTACTTCAACTAGCAAAGAAGTGAGCAGAAGTGCGGTCTCTGAGCTTTTGTTTCAGCTACGCATAGAAACCTCTCTCAGTAGGATTTAGCGTGGGTACATTTTTGATCAGATCATATTGCTTCTCTGTGGAACTCATCTATCCGTAGCAATTTTCAAAGTGCATATTCCAAAGATGAAGGCTCAAACTTAAATAAATCTGTTAATCATAAAGTAAACAGAAGACCTTGTTTTTTTGTTTTGGTTTGGTTATACATATCAATCTGTGGCATTTTGCACTGGATGGCCTCCTCTGTTTGCCCCCTAAACTGCTGCCTGGAAATTAGCCGTGCAGGCTGGGCTTAGTTGGAGAGACAGCAGTGGGAGGTCAGCTGCCACCCTCAAATAATCCCATTTATAGGAGTGATATCCTCATATATTAGAGCTACAGTAGCAGAGCAGCAAAAGACTAAGGATGAATGAAGTCAGTCAATTTTTATTTTTCTGCATTTCTTAAATTCCTTTTCTCAAAATCACTACATTTTCTATAAACATTCACATGAAAGTTCTTTGGGCACATTTCACCCAATACATGCATCTTTTCTTAATATATACATCTGTGCAAGCAATTTTATTCATATAATGCATTTGCAATGTGATGTTCATTAAGATCTGTATTTTTGTGTGCACATTCCCGTAATGCACACATTTTTCTACATGCTTTTCAGTGCAGAAGTTCCTTGGAAAATGTCATAGAAGTGTGACTTTTGAAGAATATCTGAGTTTCAGTTTGTGGATAGATTCATAAACGTGGAATTAGGTTAGTTCACAAAAATGTAAATCCAATTTATTTTTTCATCTGCAAAAGAAACAGCATCAGCAAGTTAACATTCCTCTTGTCCCCTTTTGAAATTAATGACTAGAATGTGATATGGCTGTGTTGAAGATGTGATGCTAAGTGTGCATTCAGCATTACACTGACATTAGCAAAGAGAGTGCAGGCAACTTGTTTAAATTAAGAGGAGGAGGAAGTTGGAAACATGGCAGCAGTCATGAGTTGCAAGAAGTTGTAAAAGGTCAAGTTCCTTTCCTGAGTTTTACCTTCTTCTTGGAAGCCTTACAGAGAATAGTTCCTCTAAAGGTCTCTTTGAGGCTCCTTCCTTCCTCAACCAACCCTCCCGAAGAGCACAGGATTGCTGTAAATTCTTTTGCTCTTACTTGCTTCATTTTCCTCCTTAATGCTGAAAATCAGGTATCAATTTTTTTTCTGTCTCCCACATTTCCCCATCTTTCTGCAAATGTCCTTGTTAAAATTCGTATATTTATCTTCCAGCACTGTGTCGATTTCCTCTAACGAGTATCTACTCACCTGCTTACCAATCATCTGCCAGCCCATGGTCAATTTCTCTCATCAGTTTCCATCCGCCATATCTCCCGTGTCCCGTCTATTTTCCTTGTGGTTACTACCATGTGCCATTGTTCTTCTTGCCCTTAAAAGAAGCAGTTTTCAACTGATATTGCTATATGGGTTTCCTTATGCAAACAGTTCGCGAGGTTAATAATTCATTTAACCACACCAACAATAATTCCAGAACATCAGTGCTGGAGGCATTCCAAGAGAAAATTGGACAACCACCTGTCAGATCTGTTTGATTTGGATACCTGCATTGAGCAGGGGGCTGGACCTGATGGCCTTATAGGCTCCTTCCCACTCAATTGGTCTATGATTCTATGATCATTCACTTTCTCATCTATTATATAATTAAAAGGTCACTGCTGCTGAAATCTTATTACTTAGTGTAGCAAGCAGTGCTAGAGTGCTTATTCAATGGAAGAGTGCTTATTCATTCAAACAGGCCTACTTGTTATGACTTGCTTTAGCATAGTAAGTTATGACCAGAGCAGGCCCATTTGAATCAATGGACTTTACATAAGAGTTAATTCACCAAAACCCCATTGATACATGAAATCTACCCTACTACATTAAGCAACAGGATTTCAACCTGTAAGTGATAATAAAAACCCCCTGAAGCATATAAAAAGATTAAAAAAGAGAGACCATTCTCAGTTAGAGCTGGTAGTTAGGGATGAGATGGATCTGTGACCTTATCTCTAGCCCCTGTCTAAGTGCATCACCCAAGTGAGAAGAAAGTGGACAAACATTTCACCATGTTTTTCAGCCTGGCAGGAGATGGTGCTTAACAGTGCCAGTTCAGAACAAGGATTTGGTAAACTGGAAACTGCTACACTTTGTCTAGCTACCTAGGTTTCAGGCCAATTTCCATTTTATATTCCATCTTTTTGTGAGCTGTTCCAAAGGCAATCTGAGATATTACTTTGTTAAACCTGACCTTTTTATCGGCCAAATATCAACCAAGCTGCCATTTGCATCAAGCCATCATGAACAGTGATATGATAGCTGACTTTTAAAATGAGCTTTCCATTGATATGAATTTAATCATCACTACCATTTACAGAACTAATTAAGCTATTTATTTATTTATTTATTTATTTAACTTTATATTGAGGAAAAATGCATACTTTCTCTCTCTCTCTCTCTCTCGTGTGTGTGTGTGTGTGTGTGTGTGTGTGTGTGTGTGTTTATGTTACAGAGAAAGAAAGACCTTCCTCTCCCCTTTCTCTCAAGTTGTTGAAATGTGAGGTACTGGAAACCACTACTTGCTGCTTTTGAAATTAAACTGAAGCAACAAATCAGTTTTAGGACAGCAATGGATAAACATTTTATTGCTGGGCTGAAATTTCCCCACATATTCCACAACTACAGTTGTTCATTTGACAGGAAGGAAATTCAGTTTCAAGGAAAATCTCAAGCTCAAGTTCAGGACTTTTGTGCTTCTTTTATTTACTTTTGAGTTGTCAGGGAAGTGCATGAGGGAATGTTCTAGCTTTTATGGTACATTCAATTTTATGGCAACCAGCAGCCTACCACACTCCATTTAATAGCTGGGGGATGATATAAGGAACAGATTTAATTGATTATGGTCAATGATCAGCACCAAACAAATTGTACAGTACAAAACAAAACAGGACATGCACTGTACATTGTGGCAAACAATACCTTCATAAAATATGTAAAAATCATGTCACAATTATCCAACACTGGTGGAAAATCACTGTGTTATCAGAGAACTGTGGCAAGCTAAGCTAGCTACAGAACATTTGGCAACTTTATTAGTAATATGGAGGGCCTGATCAGAAATAAACAATGACATTTAACATTCTTCTGTTCTACCTAGGAATTTCTGAAGAATAGATAAAAGAAGTTCTTTACAAAAGTCCTAATAAAAGGAAGTGTAAAAGAACATTTCCCACAATTTCTATTTCACTACTATTGCAAGGACATAAATGATCTCAATAAGGTCCTCTCTGATATCTCCCCTCTGAGAGCACAGAACACAATACATTAAATTAAGCTAATGTAAAGGGTTTGGGAAAAGTTAAATTAGCCAGATAGGTAGAGGACACAAAAGTCTTATTCCCTAAGACAGCGGTCCCCAACCTTTTTCGGTCCATGGACTGAATGGGAAAGGCGGGGCATCCCCCGTGCTCGTGCACATGCGCAAACAAGCGTGCATACTCTCTTGCATGAGCGCACACGTGTGCGCATGTGCAAACGGTGGTGCGGCGCTCACATGGGCATGCTGGAGCACACGTGCAGATGCAAACAGGTTGTGTGGGGGTGAATGTGTGAGGGGGTGGGGTGGGGTGGGAGGGCTGTCTCAGCAGCCCGGTCCAGCTCAGGCCACGGACTGGCACCGGACTACAGACCAGGGGTTGGGGACATCTGCCCTAAAATGTTGTATTTACTCAGCAAACTTAAATGTACTTGTAATTCTGTGTCCCGGGTTCTCCGCTAAACAATGGATTTGGCTTTGGAGTAACCCAGCACTATTAAGGTGCTGGGAGAAAATCCCAGAGACAGCAATTCCTTATACAGTGGTGCCTCGACTTACTAAATTAATCCGTATTGTAACGGTGGCCGTAACTCGAAAATTTTGTAACTCGAAGCACCATTTTCTATAGGAATGCATTGAAAACCATTTAATCCATCTTCCTCTCCCCTTTCTCTCAAGTTGTTGAAATGTGAGGTACTGGAAACCACTACTTGCTGCTTCTGAAATTAAACTGAAGCAACGAATCAGTTTTAGGACACCCGGCATGGAGCCACCCCCGCTGCCCTCTGCCTCCCATCCCCGCTGCCTCCGCCACTGCAGAAAGTCATACAGGCAGAAAGATACATTTTAGGTATTATAGGTGGTGGTTACAGATTATTTTGGACTACAAATCCCACAGTTCTCCATTCTGGAAGTTCTACCTCATCAGCTGACACCCGAATATAGCTTGCTTGGGAAAATGGCTTGGAAGATGTTGAGGCCCAGACATACCTAGTTTCCTGTTCAGAGAAAAAGCTCCCAGCTAGCACTGGGTCAAGAACAAGAAGCTTGGGTGGAACTAGCTTTTACAAGTAGAGCTAAACACTAAAATGGCCTCTTATGCAAGGGCCATTTTAAGAGAATTTATGGGCAGATGGGATGATGGGGGCCTGGCTGTTCTCCTGGAAGGAGGCCCTTGCTGAGGCATGTGTGGTGCTGTTTGTATGACCTGCTTCCTGTGTTCTCCTTATTCCATTAGGTCCCTCTTCTCTCCCTTCTCAACTCAAATTAGCTTCCTCAGCCCCACTGCTTGGTTTAACGATTTCTGCAGGTTCAGGTACGTAACTAAGTCCAGAGATACCGCTCTGGCATTTAGGATTCCACACACACACACCCTCCCTTCCTCTTCTCTGTATGAATAACAAGCTCTTCATCTATTCTAGTGTTAACAAGCCAGTGTTCAGGGTCATTAAGCAGCTGCTTTCAAAGAGGCTGCTCTTAAAGACAAACTTACAGCATGCATTGCCAACAGTGCAGTAGATCCTGATTAAAACAGCCCATCACTTGAGCAGAGATGTCCCTATATGCAGCATCAATCACCTGCAAAGCTTGAAGGACCAGGATTTCAAGCGGCCTGTAACCTCATCATGTGAAGTTTTACTCCAAATTTACCTTCCTCAATAGGAACTATTTTCAAGTAACTATGCAGAGACTTGTATCCTTGGTGTGAAAAACTTCAATCTACCATTGCAATTAGGACTGTATCAACTATTGTTTTGCTTCTTGATCACCACCAGTCATACTGGAGAAGAGTAACCTAATTGATCAAAGGGTTTCCTGTAGGTAGGCTAAATGGATTTTTAGCTTAGAAAAACTTAAGCAAAGGAGGGCTCAGAAGAGATGTATATATGGTGTGGATAATTTTTTTAAAAAAAAGAACGTTTCTCTCATAGTACAGGGACTACAGTCATTCAATGATGCTGAGTGTATTTATTTGATATGCATTGTGCTTTTCTCTCAAACTGGGACCCAAGGCAGCTTATAGTATACTTGAGAAAAAATTAAAAAAATACACAAGAAAAGAAACAATACCATCAAAACCCCATACATTACTCTACCTAATGGTAGAGCCAGCACTGTTATGATGAGATAAATTTCATGCCCTGTGGGAGGAAAAAGAAAGAAAAATAGTACAAATTTCTCATGCAATCATCAATTTTCTTGTTAATCTAGAAGCACTGTAATCATTTTAAAAGAAGTCTACTTCCCTCCTTAGGTGCCAGACCACTGGAGGATGTGCATTGATTCAGCAAAGCAGCAACCACAAAAAACAGTTCAAACATGGTTCCTTCCCTTCTTTGCTCTCACTCTGACATGCTCTCTCTGCCATCTACATGGTTATGTCACTGTCCCCTGCTGTCTTGTGTTTTGCAGGAGCAGTGGTCTGGTTCCTGCTGCCTTTCACCTTATGCAAACATTGATCCTCCTCCTGCCCCTCCCCGCGCTCCATTTTCCGAAGAGCCATTGTTGGAGTCCAAAATGCCACCAGCATTATCATCTAATCTCACAGAGGAAGTTGCCAATATAATGATGCTGATATCAGACAGCTAGACTTAGCTGCTGCAATTAGTTGCTAAAGCAGCAACGCACTGATGCTGCATTATGTTTGAAGAACGCCAGCTGTAAGCTGCCCTTGGCTCCCTCAACAGGCTTTCTAATGTCATGCTGTGAATATCCTGTATACTGTAAAACTGCTGGAAGCAGGGGGGGGGGAATGCACTGTAGCACTGAGTTCCATTTAGAGAGAGAGAAAAATTGCTTTCTGATCTGCAGTTTGAAGGAACCCACCATGAGAAATATTGGCTGCAGTATTCTTTCCCTATCTTTCATCTCCTCCCTTTTGATTATTTTTCTGTGGCCTCCTTACAGCTCTCCGAAAGGCTTTTCAGGCCACTCCCTGTTTTGTCCTGGTGGCACCACCACTCGCTTCCTGTTCAGACTGTTCCCTGTTTACCGGATGGAAATTTGTGTGGGACTCTTTCTGGTGAGGCTCCAGTACTTTGGCCATCTCATGAGAAGAAAAGACTCCTTGGAAA